CAAGGAATGCTATCCCTTAGCTGTGAATTTTGCATATTTCAAACACAGTTTAAGTGAAGGGGGTATTTATGGGTGTAACATCCCACAAGCATGAGCAAAGCACCTTATGGATTGAAAAATGAGGTAACTTTTTAATTAAAATTTTACAAGTTTGTGCAAGAGAACATTTCCATTCTTCTAGAACTCTGTTATCTATTCCAAAAGATATGTACGGCACATTTTATTATTTCTCCATTTCCAGGAGACAATGTAGGTTACCAGTTTAAGAAAAAAGTAAAAAAGATGTGACTGACAACACTAACAAATTCTAAAAACCTGATCAGTCTTTGGTCCTTTGGCCACTTTAAAAGTAAGATATCTAGCTCTACAGTAAAAGGCTGTACTTTCTAATAATTTTTAAGTGCCTTAAATGAGGGAAATTCCCTGTCTTCATTCACATTTTCTATTACTTAATATCCTTTTGAAGATTTTTCTACCTCATGTTTATCTTTACTATCAACTGTTTTGACATTCGTTTCTAGGTACGACTCTATACCCCCAAGTTAAACTTTCCCAAACATTTTACCAAATCATATACATTTAAAACTGATTTTGGATCTGTTGAACACAATATTTTTTCTACTTTAAAATGGAGAAAAAAAATTTTTTAATCGACCTTCTCTATTTATTTTTGGCTACCTGGAACTTTTAAAAAAATACTTTTTGGGAGCCTTGGATTTCAGGCTTCACAGTAATGCTAAATGACTAAGGATGAGACATTATGGAAGGAACCAACCTTGAATGTAAACTACTCTCAGATTTACACGGATGTCTGTAAAAATACTGACAGCCTGGCTGCGCTATTGTTTCAATACTGAAAAGTCAAACAGCACTGGGAGCTTGGGGTAGCATCTAAAGCCAACACCCTCTGAACAAACCAACCACTTCTAATTAGTAAAAGCCAGGAAAATAAGCAGGATATACTCTAGAAGAGAGTATTTTAAACACAACACTGGTGTTTTATCAGCAGCTTAAAAGAATTATCTTAGCAATATGGCTTATTTTCTCTTCTGCATTGTCATTAGCTCTTAGCTCAACTGAAGCGGAGTAGCAGTTACTAGTTGATACTTTGTTTTCTTATTTGATTCATAAAAGAATAGATAAAAGTGAATTTAATTTCCTATTACGTGTCCTTCCCTAGTTATTTTTAGCTTTTTGACTTTAATGTAGTGTATAAGGATTCAGGATTTTAAAACCAAAAGATATGGAGTTCTAGTTGGCTTAAGTGCCTCAGTATGGGGAAAAAACAGAAAGGCTGTGAACAGTAACCATCTTAAGGTCAACTAGACAAGTAATGGTCAAATTAAGATTCAAATACACTTCTTTAGACAGCCAGCACAATATTCTACTAGATACAAGTTACAAGACTGCATCTTGAAGTGACTTTATCCCAACAAAATATAAAAGATCCTTTAGAATTGAACTGGATATAAAATATTTTGGATCCAAAGCCACAGATGAAAAGATCAGACTCATGAAGTTGGTCTTCAAATATAAATGTCAATGGAATTTACCCATCCATAGGCATAATACCACTACATTTTTCTACTGATATAGTTTTACATAGCTAAGAATTAAATGAGTGCTAGTCACAAACAATTCTATTTCTAATTTGTCCTAAGATACTACACCAAAGATTTTTAAAAATATAAAGATTTATTGTTTTCTTTAAAATTTTCTTTGCTTTGTTGACTCCCCATAGCTCTTCCGAGAATACTGTTTACAGCACTGCCTGTATCATTCACTGTTTCCATAGGAAAATAATTATTTTCTCTTGATGCTATAGAAAATAAAAGTTAATTTATGCTTAAACAAAATGACTTTGGCTATAAGGGTAAGTGCCCATTTAAAAATTATTTTTAACAATAAAACTTGAATTTATTACCTTTCTTCTAATGACTACAGAATAAAATTATACCTTTAAGCACACCTAACACAGAACCTAAAAGCAAAAATTATGTATTTAACCATGAGTTTTCCAATAGATTATATATATATTATTCCAGATTTTAAGGAATTAAATTACACTAACAATACAAATTATGTAGTATATTCCCATATAAAAGGGCCTGTTAATTCTAAGAGTTCCCAAATGTGCTGCAATAAGCACAGTGGGCTTAAATATGAAGAAAGTGTTCAAAATGAAGAAAAATGCCATATTTGGGTGGCAGTTACATTTCAGTTCCAATAAAATATTGAAAAGATTTGTTAAACTTTCATTTCCTCATCCTCAAAATAAAAATAAAATCTAGAAAAATCTCCCAAAAGTAATGTGGGTGGGTCCCTTGCTTTCCACTAGGTACTAGAAACTTTGCTAGGCAGTTGAAGGGCTGGCGGGTAGGTGAATCTCGAATTAGTTCATTGTCAAGTTAATCAGCTGTTAATCTGACTTCTAAAGAACAGGTATAGTACAAAATTGAGAACTCATCTCAAAATGTGAATAAAGGCACTAATTACAAATTTACATTTTTCATCAGATAGTATCTTATAGTTAATTGACAATGCATGTCAGAATCAATGCTTTAGTATTAGATACCCGCTTGGGTCAAACAAAACATTCTCTTGGAGTAAAGGATAATCAGTTTTCATATCACTGTAACAGGAAATCTCTAATGAGAACCTATAAAACACCTTTAAAAAGTCTTACATGAATTTCCTATTTGAACTTTTCCCAATCATTGCCACAAAAACTAGTGGGATGTCGATTTCATTTTTAACACAACTAACATAAACCATTTGTAATCCCAAACTAACAAAATGCTTTTTTAAAAAATTTAGAAAATAAATCGTATTTTAAAAAATTAAACAGCAAACTTGAATCTATACTAGTAGTTGTTTGACAAACACGATCAACTATTAAAGACACTTTCAATATAATGCTGATGTGGTAATATAAAAAAATAACCATATAATTTGACAGAAGAAAACTGAACCAGCCAATCTTACTAGATATAAGAAGATAAATTTCATAATAAGAATGGATACAGGGGTGGTGTTAAATATGTTTTCTCAGGATGGAGCTAAGAGAATTATCTTCAGTATTTATGGCTAAACTCTGTAACCAAGACAGAAACTCTGGCAAAGTGTGCTTTAGGTAAATGGTATCTTCATAATTCCTCCTGCCCCTTGCCCCAAACACATACCACAAAGCATCCATATTGATTTATGTTTGCTTTTCTCTCATGTTCTAGATTATGGATTTTATTAAAAACAAAATTTACTCTCTACCTGGTATAGAATCACTAAGAAAAAGGTTCAAGACAAAGTTAATAAACCGCTAGTTCCCAAAGTCCAGAAAGCTTTCCTCTGGTCAATTTTCAGTTCTAGGGGGTGTGCTACCACTAAACAGAAAGAAAATGTTACCACATTCAACTAAATTAGACTAAATATAATAAATCAAGTATACCTGAAAACAGAGCAAAAGTAAAACCAATTTACAATAAAAAATATTAAAATTAAAATACCACTTTTGAACAGGTATTCTGATACTCTTATGAACACTGAATCCTATTTTTGACCCAAATGAAAAAAAAAATACTGCAAAAATGAAGTATTATTCTCTAAGTATGCATTTTATCCCTTTCATTATAGCAAAATCACACATTTGAAATAGAGGATCAAAATTACTTGTCCTCGCACTATTTATATTACTGCTTATATTAGACAACTGCCTTGAAAACTTTTGAATATGTAATAGACTTTTGATAGATATGACTTTTTCTTCCTATTTTTTAATTTATAAGATGTTAGAGTTAACTTTCAATCTCCTAGTAATACTTTAAAAGCTAGGATTAAATTCAGCAGTTTCCTGTAACCCAGGAAAAGACTTTAGAACATCATGTTCTATAAAGATGGCAACTGTTTTAAGCCTATTACACTATAACCTAAGATAGATTTATGGAAAAGTCGTATGGTTTTCTAAGTAACATACTGCTGGTGGTAGAAACACTATTCAAATTCACACAATTTCAAATTTTTAAGAAACGAAAATGTTTGTACTTCTGCTTTAGCTATTGCCTAAAGCAGATGTGCTCTCCCTTGCAAATGGAATAGTTGAACTTTTTGCTGATAATAAAGTTGCTTATAATTGATAGTAAAATATATTCCAAGTGTCTTGTTTTGATAGTAGTGCTGGTATCCTTTAAGAATTTCCGATAGTTAATGTATGTGTTGAATAATGTAACATTTTTAAAATTATCAGATTTATCCAAAATATTTACCATCAAAGTTGGGCTTTCAAATATTTTTCCTTGATTAGTTTTTAGCCAAAACTAAACCTGTGTGGGAGGCAGAAAAGTAAGTTTAAATCTTTTAGATAAACAGCCTATTTAATTTCCATGCTAATAGTAACTTAAAATTATTCCATGACTTGTAATAATGTGGGAGAAATTAACTTAAAAGCAGGTCTCATGATGGTCAGTCTTCCATACACACACACACACACACACACATCTAACTTCTAGGCAGATTTCTTTCTCTATAAGAAGTTCTGTCCAAAAGATCACTGGTTTGAAGAGGGAGCAACTTTTTAGTGCTGGTTAAGTTTGCAAGCAGTACCTGATGATTTCCACTACTACTTTGTCAAACCAGTAATTATCTGGTAGGGGAAGGGGGTAGTCAAGAAATTGGTCATTAAAATTATTACAATACTTCAGAAAACATTAAACATATGACAAACATTTCTTACAAGGCAGTCATTGAATAATTAGAATCAGCAGTCAGAAGAATTATGTTGCTGAAAACATAGTTATACATTATGTTCATCCAACTGAAGATTAGTGCATTAAAAAAAAGTTAAGAAAAAATCTTTTTATGTTCCAGTTCAGCTGCACTTGATTCAAGTGTTGCTCATAGAGGTTTGTGTTGTTATAAATTAAACATGCTGCTGCCTTAGCAGCCAAATGTACTAGGAAAATGTTCATGTCACAGAATAAATAGAGCAGTCTCTTTCGAGCAAAAAGTTATCTCACACCGATCCGGGAGGTCATCCACTCTAGACCTTGGCATAACCTGAAACAAAAGATAGAAGTATTTTCAAAACGGAAATATTTAGAATTGAAAGCATACTTAGTATTTTTAAATCTTACCCAAATGTTGATACTGCGATAATGATTATACAGGTAAGTGAAATATGTAGGTAACACCATAAGAAGTGCAATTTTTAAGCGGAAGATTCACTTATGAGTAACTGGGAAATGGTTTCAGTCTCATCTTGAGGATAACCGCTTGGGCAGTTTTACCATCAAGATTGCAAATACTCCTCTCGCCCTTTTAAGATTAAAACTGAAACCACTATAGAAAGACAACAGGAATTCTGCCCTACCCTCCTAAATTCTAAAGAATGGAATGCTTATGGCCCAGTCGCAGAAGCATAGGTCAAAAAAGTCTACATCTACTATTATATTACAAGCTATTTCTAATATGAGCATAACTAAGGAGGTCAGGTTGATTAGAGGAGAAATAAACTCCTGGAAATCAACTGGATAAGTCATGTCTAACATGCTGGGTTCTCTTTGGCCTACTCTATCCAAACCCAAGTTCTTAGGAAAGAAGAATATACTCTAAGAAGCATTTATAGCCAATGTTTCCTCTCTCGAAGTATGCCCCCTGAAGGAACTCCTGATTAGAAAGGAGATGTACTCTTGTGGAAAGCTGAGAGCTCATGCTTAATTAAGCCTTTATAGAAAATGTAAAATTTCTTTGAGGCTTCCTCTTTAATTCAGGCAACATTCCGGTTGTTCCCCCGCCCCCACCGCCCCAGCTAGTCAATGATATAAGCAAGAAATGAACAGCAACTAAAAATCTGGATTGGGACAACTTAATTCAAATGTTTGTTATTGACTTTTTCTGGTAAAACATTTTGTTTATATTAAAAGGTACAAAAAATGTGTCAATAACTCTGCTCAACTGTAACTTAACAACAGTAACGGACTAAAATAATTTCCACCTTATAAAACTGAAATACAATATAAAAGCTATCTTTAAGAACAAAAAAGGGAACAGGATCAAAGAAGAAAAGTTGATAGAAATTTGAAAGAAGTCATACCTCCCCTCCTATCGTTTAGCACTTACCCTTCTCCTGTTAAAGCACAGCAGGACTGAATGTGCCATGGATGATCTTTAATTGAACTAAGGGTGAGGTATTTAGAGATTTCAGCTGCTGTCATGCACCCTTTCATATCCTGTTTATTTGCAAAGATAAGAACTGCAGCCTTCCGTAGATCCTGCAATCAATATGAAATATTTCTAATACAAGAAATACCACGATTCAATTTAAACTAATACATCAGGAAGGTCAGATATGCCCAACTGGACAGTTATAATGAAATCCTTCTACTTTCAATGATTAGGCAGTAATATTTAATTTAAAAATTTTATTGAGAGCTGCCTAGCTGGCTCAGTCAGTAGAACACACAACTCCTGATCTCAGGGTTGTGAGTTCAAGCCCCATGTTGGGCCTAGAGCTTACTTAAAAAATAAAAACTCAAAAAAATAAATAAGTAAAAGTTGTATTGAAATGAAAATTTTCTCAATAGAGATTTAATGATTGACTCTAACAGAGATAGACTTATTAACATAAGCAGGTAATCAAAAGTTATTTTATATTGTTGGGCCAAGGGGGTCAAACTAAAAGTAAAATAAACATGCATCTTAAACACGGATTTAAAACTCTATGAGCAATACTCTAATGGCCAAATATGGTAATATGTTCCCAAACACTACAGAATTTCTCCAAATTTAAAGAAGAGGACTGAGGGTAAGGGCTGGGTAATACTTATTTTACTTACTAGTATTGGTATAGACTAACTGCATTCATTAATAGTCACTGTAGAATTGTTCACACTATCAAAATTTAGAAATAACCTAAATGTTCATTAATAAAAGAACAGATCAAAAAAAAAATAGATCAAATGTAGTTTAATCATACACTACATATCAAAAACAATGAACTAAAGCTCTATGTACTGACATGGATAATCACAATATTGTGCAAAAAAACCCCAAAACTGAGTTACAGGGAAAAAAAATCCTTATCATTATATAAGAGTTTATGAACAATGAAATATAAATCAACTGACAAAAAATGTAGGGAAAGTATAAAAATATACATGGGATTGATAATCACTACTTTTAGGATAATGTAATTCTTTCAGAATTGAGAGAAAGGAAGAAAATGAGATTGGTGGTCACATAAGATATTTCATATCTTATACTGAATGGATGGTGGACAAATGTGTTTTATTATCTAAGTCTTTCATATAACTGAAATAGAATTAAGTGATCTCATACTATTCACTCAAGAATTTTCAGTTATTATAAACTCTTGGGGAAAAAACCACTTAAATTTTCCTCTTTCTTGCTTTAAGGCTTGAATAAGTGGTTTAAACTTTGAAAAATCTTGTCAATAACAGTAATACTCTACAAATTAACGTGTTGAGCTTTTTCAAGTTTGAAAATGTAATGGAACTTTCTGACTTTAAGACTTTCATCAAGGGGCGCCTGGGTGGTTCAGTCATTAAGCATCTGCCTTCAGCTCAGGTCATGATCCCAGGGTCCTGGGATCGAGCCCCTCATCGGGCTCCCTGCTCGGCGGGAAGCCTGCTTCTCCCTCTCCCACTCCCCCTGCTTGTGTTCCCTCTCTCACTGTGTCTCTCTCTGTCAAATAAATAAAATCTTAAAAAAAAAACACACACAAAAAACAAAAACTTTCATCAAAATATAAAATTCTGTTAATGATGAAATAACCAACAGCAAAGCCCATAATCTTTGTAAAAAAGCACCAGTATACAGATACCTTACTCCATGGTTTAAGTTTGCTTTCAAAATTTACCTCATGAGCCAACATTCTGTACAATTCTTCTTTTGTAATGGCTAGTCGTTCCCTGTCAATGCTATCAACAACAAGAATGATGAACTAGAAGACAATCAAAAAGAAAGAAAATTGAATGAAATCTTCAAGTTTTCGGCAAAACTCTCAAGTGAGAGTACTTTCTTCACATGACACCATCATTACCATAAAATGGTCTACTGCTTTTTCATCATAAGGTTTATACTGTAAAATCCAAATGTTAATAAGAAAATAACTCATAATTTCAACAAATAAGAACTATGCCCAAAGCTTATTTTAAAAAGGTGATGTAACACTAAGATTTATTTTTAATTGCAGGTAATAAAAGATAATTTTCAAAGAAAAAGTCACGGTAATTTAAGTAACTTTTACTAAAACGTGAAAGTACTCTAATTGCTCATTTAAGCAATCAGTAATTATTTCGGTTTCAGACAGTCTCCTGCCTATTAGAAAGGAGCCCACAAGTCTGAAAGAAAGAGAAACAAATTAAAAAAACAAAACAAGTAATGAACAAGACATTTTAACATAACAAGATCAACAATAAAAGCCCCAGAAAAAATGTGCTAACTAGAAACACACCTACTTAGGGGTTAATATGCTGGAGGGGATGCAGGCGAAACAAAGAGGAGCAAGCTAAGAGGGGCGGAGAAAGCTGCGGGTAAAGGTGCTATGAAAACAGGTGGGTCTCACACGTTGAAATAAAAGGATCTTGGGTAAGAAAAAGAAGATACAGTGCAAAGGGCCCCTGACTGAATATCTTAGAAGAAAAAGTTAAGAAGTGAGATTAAAGAGATGCTAAAAATGACACAGAATAAACGGAGAGAGAGAGGGTGACACCGGATTGTTCAGAAGACCTTAAAATTTGGCAGAGAGACAACTAGAGTAATCTGCATATAAAATGTGAATGGCTTCAAAGGGCATAAAAGGGAAGAAAGGGAAGAAATGCGGCAAAGTGAATATGGGGGAGTGACTTTACTGAGAGGGGTGTGTCAGGCATCTGCCAACAGCTGAACTCCTTGCAATGTGACAGAGACCTTCGGCTTTTGGCCTTTGGAGGACTCCTCAAGGTAAGGAATTTAAGAAGCTGATGAGGGTGAACCAAGCCATCAGGGAAACACCATATAGACAGGATCCCCACCCGGCATCTAAGATTGCAAATGCTCGGTGCTATGCTGGGGTGCTGCAGTAAAGGCCGCAGGGTCTTTGTGTATCAATTCTGAAATTCTTAGAGAAAGAGTTTATTAAAAAAACATTTCATGCAAATGGTGTCATTAATAACGTATTTCTTTCTTTCTGGACCCATGCTAAGTCTTCTAGAGTTCCTGCAACTTCAGAAACTACCCTTTTGTAATGCTATAAATATACATGGATCAGCTAGAACCAACTCTAACCTACTACTCATCAGAACTGATGGTTCTTCTCTCTCACACCTGCAGTTACCTGTGAGCTTTGCACAGGCGGCAACAGCTATGCTGCTTAAATACAGTTGAACAGCATGGGTCTGAACTGAGCAGATCCCCTTAAATGTGATGTTTTAACTGTGTAGCCAGTGCTGTAAATGCATTTTCTCTTAATGATTTTCTTAATAACATTCTTTTCTCTAGCTTACTTTATTGTCAGAATACAGTATATAATCCGTACAACATAGAAACACGTGTTAATCCACTCTTTACGTTATCGGTAAGGCTTCTGGTCAACAGTAGGCTATCAGTCAAGTTTTTGGGGAGTCAAGTTGTATGTGGATTTTGGACTGTGTAAGTGGGTCAGTGTCCCTAACCCTTGCATCGTTCAAGGGGCAACTGCAATCATGCTAAAAGGTTGTTCTTCTCTTACTTTCTAACATGTTTTAGTTTTGGAATGTTATTTTATGATAGAAGTATGTATTAAGCTAACCTATAACCATATTTGCTTACCATCCTATCTTGCCCTGCAAATAAAAAGAATTAAGTGCTAGCACCACTGCTAAAGATCTATGATACGCCATTTGGTTTTGACAGTCACAAACTGCAGTGGAATATATCCACCCAGATACTCACGCAATTGCAATATAATCATAAAAGAAACTTATTCACCAAAACTTTGCAACTCCCCACCTCCTTTGCACACTCCCTTCAAAACACCCACTCAATTTTTAATAGGCTTCATTTTAGAAAAAAATAATTGGTTAGATGTACCTGTTTGTAAAGAGAAATTATGGATGTAATTGCACATTAGTATACTCAAAGATAAATGTCTCAATAGCACTGCATTGGTTTAAAAAAAATCTGCCTCTAACAAGAAATAAAAACAGAAATAGAAGCTAGTCCAGATTGTTTCCCAGGTTGGCTCTGAAGTAGTAAAATAATGAAATAACTGACAGAGAATTTGGCGGGTGGCGGGGGGGGGGGCGGCAGGGGCTGCAGTAAATCCATTTTTTTTTTAACTAAAATATAATCTCACCAAAAATTTGAATTTTGAAAATCTTGTATTAAATGATGCTTAAAATATTTTATTCCTCCCCTAACCAGAGCCTCATAAAGTTGTGAAATCTTGGGACAGGTTATCTGATTGATCCCAGTCTCCACTTTCTCCAACAGTAATGTTACAGGATTACTGGGAGGATGAGCTCAGAGTCTGCACTACGGTAAACCCACAACAAACAGTGCATGTTACTCTCTCTACTGGCCTTTTCTCTTCTATTTGAAAACCTCACATTCCGTACAGAACACGATGTTACTGAGAAGCAAATGTCAATATGCCTTCATGTACAGCCTATCTATTTTCTGGGTTTACTCTTTGGTTCTCTGTATTAAAATTCAGAAGGCAGCTTAGATACCTCCGTGTTTGAGTAATACGTGTTCCAGGATGAGCGCAGTGATTCTTGACCACCAATATCCCACATAAGAAAATGAGTGTTCTTCACAACTATCTCTTCAACGTTGCTTCCTATGGTTGGAGATGTATGAACCACTTCATTCATTAAGCTGTTGAAAGACACCATAAAAAAATCTTTTGTAAATCTTGAGAATCCAAAGGAAGTTTTATCTCTATGTTTTTAGTATCAATCACCCTTCCTCATTTGTACCGATGGTCATCATAAGCATCAAAACTAGAACCTTAGAGAACCTTTGTGCAAACAAATATCTAGACAAAGAACAACTCCTGAAGGAAGACTTTTTTTTTTCTTTTAGTGGAATAAATAAACTAAAGGCTTGATCTGGAGCGAAAGGAACACCGTGGTGTGAGTTTGTATTTCTGTGGCCAAAATTCCAAAACCACCATGCCCTGTTAATCAGAGTAGAACCAGTGCCCCTTCCTGAAAGAGCAAGTTTGCCGGTGACTGTGATATCAATATCTGCAAAGCAGCAACCACTGAAGAGTAGGCTATATATAACTTTGAAGACTGTCTAGGTGAGAAAATTGAGACTCAGGCCTATCAACCTAAACTACAGCCTTAAAAAGATAGGGCTATATGCAAATGACAATTTTAATTAAAAGAACTATAAATATATTTACAACACCAATGCTCATACCACATATATTACCATAATTACTGGCTAAGAAACATGAATTAATTCATTCAACAAATACGTATTTGCCTATAGTAAGTTGGTACTGTGTTGGAAGAAGCCTACAACCGTACTGTCTCTTGGGTTTTATGTATCTTTTTGAAGCTACATGGAAAATTATTTCAACAACTGACAGGTTTCTGAAATGTTTATATCTGATGTTTGAAGGCAAAGTCATATTAAATATATAATGGCCAATGAATGAATATTTTAAAGTAAAACAAGTAGTTATTCGCCTCTAAAACAACAAGCCACAAGTTAGGAGCTTTTTAGCAAAGTAGCTGAAAAATACATTAGGCACTGCGTAAGTGAAGTATTTCTGGAGAGCTGTCAGATGATACACTTAAGATGAGGTGGAAAGAGATAAGAGCCCAGCAACAGTGCACTGTATCTAGTAACTATTTGCTAAAATGCTTGGGACACAGATCCATTTCCACTGCTTAACATAGATCAGCTGATGAACACTGAAAGGATAACAAGAGCTACTTTGACAAGTGGATTGATGGGCTGTTAAAATTTCCTGCGAGTATTAATGTATTTCTCTGGAAGTCTCAAGCCTTTCCCTGCTGCAAGCTAGAAAAGCAGTACTTTCAGGGATGATCTTCATTTCTTTTGATTTGACAAGTCTGGCTACGTTCAACAATTCAGAGCTATTAGTCAGGAGAGTAGCAATAAGCTTCCTAGAGATATCCATCTATTCACATGAACCGCAGTTCGGGAAGAATTAAGTAAATGCACTTTATCACTTCACTCCAGTACTATTATATGTGCTTTATTTATTTTAGTTTAATATTAATTCCTTCTTTCAAGGCCAGAAAAAACAAGTGTTTGAAAGGCTTTAGCAAACATACAGCAGTTTTATTCACTTTTTAAACAAATTTTGTTTGTGATTGCTTCTCGGCCTTTTGGCTAAGATCAAGTGTAAACAAATTTTGTGTTTGGTAAAATACAAAACCATATGTTGGAGCTTTTCCGTTATATTACAATGGTACCTTATTAATTACATAAAACTGGTTTTAATAACTAAAATAATGAAAACTGTTTAAGTAAATAACTATACTTACAATTGGTAAAGAATGGTGGTTTTCCCTGCATTATCCAGTCCCACTATAATTACTTTGTGTTCTACAAAAAGAAAACAAACCATAAACATTTAACACTACTGCATACTACAATTACATGCTTTCAGCCATGATTATTAGTTAGCTTTCTAATGAGAATCATTCACTGGATACTTATTACTGGATTCTTAAAATACAGAGTAAAGAGAACTTCATGGTGTCAAGGTCACCTGCGTTAAGTGAGGCAAATTGGTATAATGTCCTCCACCTGTGAGATATGGGTAGGCAGGAAATACAAGAGAACCTGCTCACTTATAATGCTGAGTCTGGGAGGAAAAACACAAATTCTGGTCCTGACAAGGCATTATGACTTAAAATATAAGTTTAAAAAATAATTCTTTGGGGGCAGCTGGGTGGCTCAGTGGGTTAAGCGTCAGACTCTTGATTTTGGCTCAGGTTCTGATCTCAGGGTCCTGAGATCCAGCCCTGCATCGGGCTCCACACTCACTGGGGAGTCTGCTTGTCCCTTTCCCTCTGCTCCTGTGCGCCCACCTCCTTGTCAAATAAATAAAATCTTAAAAAAAAAATTGTTTTACACATCTGCTTGTCATCTCTGCTAATCAAACTATTTTTTATTTAAAGATTTTATTTATTTGACAGAGAGAGACACAGCGAAGAGGGACCACAAGCAGGGGGAGTGAGAGAGGGAGAAGCAGACTTCCCGCTGAGCAGGGAGTCCGATGTGGGGCTTGATTCCAGGACCCTGGGACCATGACCTGAGCCGAAGGCAGACGCTTAACCGACTGAGCCACCCAGGCGCCCCTGGATTTTACAACTGTCTTGAGCAGATACCATTTCTGCTCTTCATGCAACAAAAACTTCCTCCGCCTTCTTCCAGTGCCATGCACAGAACCGTCACTTGTCTCATAGACAGATTTTAAAGCCCATCTAATTTTTCTGTTAAGTGGTACATATTCTGAAACCTCCTTTGAACACAGAGGAAAAACACTCTAGAATCATCTTTCCTAGATTTTAACCTTTACAGAAAATACCTCTCTTCCCCAGGGCAGAATACTTAAAAAGTGAACCTCTGTAAGAACAACACAATCGATTTTTATTTATTTATTTATTTGTCAGCGAGAGAGCGTGAATGTGCACAAGCAGGGAGAGCAGCAAGCAGAAGGAGAAGCTGGCTCCCTGCTGAGCAGGGAGCCTGATACGGGACTCGATCCCAGGACCCTGAGATCATGATCTGAGCCAAAGGCAGACATTCAACCAACTGAGCCACCCAGGCGTCCCCAGTTGATTTATTTTTAGCCAATGATCTGACATAGTTCTTATCAGAACACTGCTCCTTGGGGCGCCTGGGTGGCTCAGTCGTTAAGTGTCGGCCTTCGGCTCAGGTCAGGATCCCAGGGTCCCGGGATCGAGCCCGGCATTGGGCTCCCTGCTCCGCGGGAAGCCTGCTTCTCCCTCTCCCACTCCCCCTGCTTGTGTTCCCTCTCTCGCTGTGTCTCTGTCAAATAAATAAATAAAATCTTAAAAAAGAAAAACAACCCTGCTCCTCTTGTTAACCTGTGATGAATGTCAGAATTTTGATTATACGCCTAAGAGAATGTCATCTCGTGTTCCTCCTCTAAAGTGTTACTTTGACTGTATCAGTCAAAAAGAGGGGCCATAATTCACAGACAAGTTCTTTGGTGACTGTTTGTGCCTTCTAATGACCTGACCACTGTCAGTCCTGCCTCTAATATTGCAGAACAAATGCCATGGTCCTCTGGAAGGGCTTTTTTCACTATGGCAGAAGCTGCTCTGCAAAAAAACAAAACAGAACAAAACTTGTTTGCTTACTGTAACTCACTGTAATTCTCCTTTTTGGACTCTTTCCGTTCATATCCCTTAATTTCTAACACAGCCAATCTTTAAGTGTTGCCCTATCTTTCTCCCTTCTGCTACAAGAAGGAGAACCCTTTTACTAGTGGAAGAACAAGCTTTCTAAATTTTGGTGACAGCTGGAAACCACCTGCCTGGCATGTGGAGACCATGGGGTCCCTGCAGGAGTAAGAAGGAAGCCACTAGTCTGGAAAGAGGCTAAACTTGGGGGCAGATACTTCTGCCGGGGGAGGGGAACAGAAGTAGGACTAGGTGGTTGGTTCGAGGCAACTGAAGTGAACCAACACCCAGGGCCATTTTCAAAGAGTCCTGCTCTTGGCTTCACATTTTGTATTATGATGACGATCACGGTATTGAAGGCATGTGATGGCAAAACTCATAAATAATACATCATTTGAAAGACTGGTGCCCAATGTGAACTAAGTCAGGGGTGACAAACTCTGAAGGGGGATAGAGTATGAGTTTTGTTACAGTTTCAACTGCATGATTAACTTAAGGTCTTTTTCAGATTCCTTTACCCCTGCTCAGTGATAGGGAATTCTAGCAATTAAGACTAAACACACAATTTCAACTCTACCAATGTATTAACATCAATCCTTCAGTTAAACCGAGGCCTATCTTCTGATAGTATCATCAACAACCTGAGTCTATATAACAAAACATCATCAACAGAAAAGAGCTAGATGCTTTTTAAAAGCATGAAGTAACGGAGTTTATTTTAAATGTTTTCTTTGAAGAAAAAAATCTCCTTAACATCATCTGTACAGTAAGAGGGAAATCAAGTTCAAAGAGCATTTACTAAAAAGCCAAGTACAAAATAAGAGCGGTTTCTACTCTGCGGCATAACTGTAATTCCTCTGCCTTCTTTCAAATGCCCCCGTTGTCCTTAGCTGCTACTGGAGTACGCCAATGACCGAAAGACTTTAGTTCCCAAATGCTAGTTAGTACAGTTTTTACCTATTCAAGGGACGATGAGAAAAACACAATGACACATACTCTTGTTGTAAGCAGAAAAGGAAATTAATGTGTTGCTTTAAATGTACACCAGTGGTGTCTAGATTAATAAAGTATAAATCATGTGGCGGTATAGGGTATCGGTTGATGTTTTTTTAAAAACATGACTTAAGGTGCTTGTTCTGTATCGCTGTCTTTTTGGTTGGGCATAATCAACAGGCCACACACAAATCTTATTTTATGTATTGAAACAGAAAAATATCCACTGAACAAACAATGCAATATATGTTAAGAAAAAAAAAGAAAAGAAAAAGAAAAAGGTAGCAAGAGGGGAAGAATGAAGGGGGGGAAATCGGAGGGGGAGACGAACCATGGGAGACGATGGACTCTGAAAAACAAACTGAGGGTTCTAGAGGGGAGGGGGGTGGGGGGATGGGTTAGCCTGGTGATGGGTATTAAAGAGGGCACGTTCTGCATGGAGCACTGGGTGTTATACGCAAACAATGAATCATGGAACACTACATCAAAAACTAATGATGTAATGTATGGTGATTAACATAACAATAAAAAATTTAAAGGGGAAAAAAAAAGAAAAACATCCACTGAACTGTGTTAGTGATTTCCTGTGGTCATGATAAAACCGTTTCCTTCACCTATCATAGTTAACAAAAGCAGATATAAAGAGATGTTTGTAAATTTGTACTATTTATATCACCCAGCAATAATTTTTATTATTTGTTTACCTAGTAGGTTAAAAAAAACTTTCAAAATATATCATTAGAGTTCAATTCAGTCTTGGTTAAGGTGAGACAGAATCTATCCTAACAGTCAGATTTTTGAATTGCTGCCAATCAGATGAGCATTAACCATTTAACATCACTTTTACTTACAGACCCACTGAAATGTCTGAAGTTGTGAGGAGAAAACTATACAACTGTATACTTTCACAACTTCAACCGATCCTCAACATGCATACATAAGCTATAGATTCTTCTAACTCCTCCAATTACTCTCCAAGAAAATGAAATACTTAGCTGATAGACTGAGACACAGTCAATTCTTATGTAACCTTAAATAGGGAAAACTAGGGCAACCCTCTCGGGTCCCCTCGCTCTTTGGGAGCTTTGAACTATCGCTCAATAAACTTTGCTTTGCTGCCCACCAAAAAAAAAATAGGGAAAACTATGAACATGGATAATACAAAATTCTTTATTTAGAATGAATTTTGCAAATGTAATTACAGAAATTTACCTTCTTTATTGTTTTTTCAGTAGCATTATTAAAATCAGTATGGGGTCACAGAGTAGAAGCTGCCCATGTTTGGGGCCAGAAATGTGTATGTTGGGGATGGGAGTGTGTACAACTTAAAACTTTCAAGTAAAGTTTGGGTACCATAAGAATCAGAGTTACAATGAATCCAAATGGTTTGGCTGTTTGTTCATTTAAAGATTTTATTTTTAAATAATCTCTACACCCAACCTGGGGCTTGAACTCACAGCCCTGAAATCAAGAGTCAAACACTCTACCGACTGAGCCAGCCAGGTGCCCCAAATCCGTTATGTTTGTAAAATGTGCCTGCATACCACGAGATGGTCACCTTGCCATCATATTTCACCAGAAATCTCTTCCAGGAGACCAAGCTGCACCTCTCCCCACAACAGAGGTCTGGGAGAAGAGCACTTACTAATCCATGCATCTCCAGAGTCAACACAAAGCATGTTTATTTATATTGAATGAAGGTCCAGTAGTTGCAGAGCTTTTGTTTAATTTTGATCAAGTGTTTACACAAAAGTTTCCCTGCAATCTTGGCTATGGTGTTTGTTCTCTTGGATCTCCTTAAAAGTTGGCTCATACCATTTTGTAAGCAGGGCATAAAGACATAAAGCCTATACAGAATGAGCGTCAAAAAGAAAATTAGTAAGAGCACTTGCTTGAGGACAAACACAGGTAAAAGATGGCTAAAAAGAAAAATGATGGAAAAAGGAACTTCAAAAAAAAATAAGTGGAAGAAAAATCAAAGAAAACCTTTTTCTCTTCACCAAATGAAAAAAATTTACTGAATTCAATTTCTAGCTTCAGTATAGATACCAAATGAAAAGAAAATTATAGTTTTTATATAGAATACCAAATAGTTCAAATAGACAAACACAAGAGAAGAAAAATATTAGAGAAGCGCTAAATACTGGCAGTGCCAATAACGTGGAAAACAGTG